TATTAATTATTATTATTATTATTATTATTATTATTATTATTATCATTATTATTAATTATTATTGTTATTACTTATTATTGTTATTACCATTAACACTGTCTTATCGTCATCATTAGCATCATCGTTTTCGGCATATTTTATTGGAATTTAGGCCCATTATATTATTTTTAGACAGGATCTCAATGAACGTAGTGCTTCAACATCGAGAAGCTGAGAGTAGTGTGAGGACGGAAGAAAAGAGAGGGGAAAGTTGAAGAAATCAACAAAATGTGATTATCTTTTGTTTTATTCCGGTATCTGACATTCGCGGGGATTTTCCAGGAAGAAGAGGAAGGATGACCCCCCACTTATCATCATTAATGTGTACCACTTTCCATTTGTATTCGTCAAGAACAACTATTTAATGATAAAAAAATTGTTAGTTTGCGGAGTTGATTCTTCAACGAGCGGTTCCCATTTATCAGTGTGGCATCCTGCTCTATAGTTATCCAATGTTTTATCAGTGTTTAGGATTGCTACTCGTGGTGTCCATTAGTGCAGGTAAGTCCTGCCACTTTCATTGTCACGATAATCTTTAATAAGACCATCTTCAACAATCCGTAAAAACTGAGCTTTCATTTAAATCCTTTTTTTATCAAGTTTATAATAATATAGGTTCTTTTTCAGTACCACTGCCTGAAGAAGTGGATTATAGTGGAGAAATTCCGAACTGTCGTGATGGTGGAAAACCTCTGCTAGCCGCAGATATTGGAGTTCATACATGTGACAAAAATTGTCCGGAAGGATTTCGATGTGAATATAAAACAACGGATGATACTACAAGGAAAGGTGTAGTGAATATTTCTTATACTGAAAGCTATTGAATCACATGTCCGAAACCATTGGAGTCTCCTCCTCTTATTGCATTTCTCGTTGCGGCATAGTTGTGATCTGGACTTGGTAAGCATCAGCTTTTCGAAAGAGACCCAGATTTCAAGCAGTTTAACGATTTATCTTATTTTAATTTATCTACTGCTTTAATCAATCTAATCTACCTACTGTCTTAATCACTGGTCACTTTAATATACCTTCAAATTTAATAGAAGCATTTTCAGCTTCTATTAGATAATTTGATTGATTTTTCACAATTTCGATTTCTGATTTTCTGCAAATTCGAACGATATTAAATTTTCTGAATTTCCGGGCTAATTGAATTTTCTCAGCTAAAAAATTATTTGAAGTAGTGAAGTCGGCATCAATTGAAACAGATCTGTTTGTTATGCACTCTTCCCGGTAGGCCTCATTGACTTAATTTGCAGGCATATGTTGTCCGAACTTAAATGAATTGGAGAAAATTTACAGTGAAAATGAGAATTTGGACAGGACTGTCAAAAAGTTGAATATCTAGAAACATGGATTTCTACTGACAGTGATGTTGTTGTGTATATAAAGTATTGTGGCTTTAACTTGCTACCAATTGTTACTTTTGCAATGATAACTTTATGATCAATAAAAGAATTCTGGTATAATGATCACTGAACTGGAAATCTCTATAGAAATCGGCTTTAATGCTGCTATTCAATTTCTTTTTTTCTTTTTTTTTGTTGAACATCGGACAAACCAATACCTGGTTAGTGATATTTCTTTGCGTGTATACGATAATCCCACCTGCTGAACAAATCCGTTTTAACTGTTATTTGCTCTCTTGCTGTAGATTTTATTAAAATACCACGTGAATGAATTTTATGGTAACACTTTGTTCACGAAGATAGTATTCGGTCCTTTCAGCGCACTGCTGCCGCATTTAAGATTCCTTTACCTGGATTCGTTCTCAGTCATTCATCATCTTTACATGTGATCGCAATCATTTGAGGGTTGGTCAAGTGGAAGCTTGGTTGATGGGCCTACAAAATCCAACCGAATTTGATTAAAAGACCCGTCAAACTGAGTTGTGATGAGTCGAGTTAATCAATTTTTAGAGTAAACTATTTTAAAACCATTAATGTGAAAAGGCACCATGACACCATATATTATATTAGATAATACATATAGAATAATTCTTTCCTCCTCCTTGCAAGAATATCATAACTGATTACTTTTTCATTAAAATTTTTTTATGTTTCTGGTAATCTGAAATAGCCAATAATGGATGATACTCGTTGTTTCTTCCACCTTGAATTATATCTTGAATCATGTAACCGACTGTCTACGAAAACATAAAAAGCATGTTGCTGATTATCAGTCCAGCATGTTGCTGATTATCAGTCCAGTTGCTGTTTCGGAAAAGTCTGATATAAGTCTGAATATTATTAGTTTGGGTAATCCCAAACTTCTCCCTATCAGAAATAATAAACTTCATGTCACTTCAAGTTTTATATTTCAAGACTTTTTCAAAATAATTTGATATATATGGGCATATTTAACTGAATTGCTTACTTCAGGATTTTCGCTTCATAATTACTGCTACTACTGACGGTACGCTTTACTTGTTTCTGCATGAAACGCATTTCTGATGGAAGCATTCTTGACGTTTTCCTTCTGATAAACTCGCTGGAATTTTACTACTTTTTAATAATTTTCAACTGCTTTTTTGAATTCATTATGTAAACATATCTTTCAGTGCTCTTAATTTCCGAATTTTCTTTAAGAAATATGGAAAAAGAATAATTTTTATTTTATTTAATATGGCGAATTTAAAAAAAAATTAAACCGTTAATTGCTAAACTTGTAACGCTAACCATCTGAATCATACCTGTTGCTTGCAATTCTAATTTATTATTTTTGTAAAAATGGACTCACAAGTATAGCTTTTAAGAAAGTAAGTGTGAAAGTGAATGTAACAGACCTGAAAAGGTGTTTAGGTAGCACGACTGTCCAAAATGTGTCTCTGTATCTGAAGCAGTTAAAGCTATTTGAAAGACAGTAATTAGACAATTTACGAGAGACTTCATGTTCAATAATCAAGCAAAAAATATTTTTACATACTCATAACCAACCTAGAAGACATTAAGCAGTAAAGGACGAAGGTAATGGATGAATTAAGCAATGAGAGAAGATCGAGGATATCGCCGAGATTGAAGTAAATATATATATGTACATGAGTGGTGTAAATAGCATTCATGATGGCAATGATCCCTTGTGGCATCTCGGCGATCAAAAATACCAGTACTATGGCAAGCAATAAGACTGACGTCCGATCTGACTTGATGACATCTCTGGAATTCTCACATTTTCATTCGAATAATTTATGACATTTGTATCAAATATTTGTTCAAAAATCAGTTTGTAACAAAGTTTTTCTAATCTGTTAATCGTAAATTGCATTTGTACCAAAACTAGCAAGCAATGCAAACAATAGTTTTTAAATTAAATTTATTAATTTCTTCTGCCTCTCAATTTTGGCATATCAGATTAGCACATAATTTGCTTTTTTAGATGTATGTAAAGTATTTGCTGTTTTGAAAACATTGTCTTTAATTCTAAGACCATTTCTTGTTCAAAAAACTCACTGTTTCAAACTTTAATCATTAAAAAGATCATAGTTCTCAATATAGCCGTGTCCTACATCCTTCAGCTATTTCAAAAATTCGTCTAAAAAAAAAAGTTAAAAAACCTTCGTGTTTTTGTTGAGTTGCATTTTAACAAATGCATGCGCTTTTTAGTTGTTCGATGTAATGTTAACATAAGACTCGATGAAAAACAAAGTAATAGTATGCACGGTATAACCTGCAAAAGGCGATCAAATTCTTGAGTTAAGTTTTAATGGAATAGAATTATCAATGATCTAAAAGATATTTTCTTAGTTTTAAATCAGCTTAATTTGAATTCAATTTCTTAGACTTTTTGATCGTGTTTGATTTTTACTAATCAGTGATACAAGAATAAAAAATAATTATCATTTATAAGGGCTATTATGATATAGTGTTATTACCTTGAAAATAATTCCTGACATCCATAAATTCCATTTGAAAAAGCGACATCCATTTTCCATTGCAGATGATGATATCTACAGAAATAGTAGTAAGTGTAATGAAATTATTGACATGAATTGTTTTAGGAATAATTCGCCAACAGAAGAAACTTTCGTCATCGATAAACTATTGATATTAATAAAAATTTGTATGACACCATACTTAGCTAGGAGCTGTCACAACAAATGACAAGTGTGATTAGCAATAGGCAGTAACAATTACAACAAAAACTGCGTAGTAACAAATCAAAGTCATTTTCTTTCAATCCAGCAACAATTCGAATCAGTAACAATTTATTTCTTCTAATTAAAATATTAAGATGAATATTTAGTCAGCCTTTTACTTCATTTGATCTGATTTACATCCGTATTTTTTCATTCCTCTAATAATTGCGAACTAAATTGCTAATAATTCTCATAATTTGCTAATTGGCAGTTATGAATTTGAAGATTCTAGATGACTTTTAGATAGATAAGAAGTTTGACAATTTAACTTACATGAAAGGTGTAATATTTAGCAGTATAATTAGGGGGAAAATCATGAGCGCAGTGGGGTGCAGGATGCCAGTCACCAATTTCAACTACATCATATACTAGCAATGTTGGTATACAGAGCAGGAACACACAGAAGTATATCAGAAGACAAACTTTCCAAGCCATCTGTGGCTTCTGCCAATTGCTGTAAATACGTTTCTCATGAAAGTGAGCAAGAATTGCATTTTAACGTCCATTGAACATACTTCAAATATTTGATAATATAGTATCCTCTTGTGATTAAAACAATTTAAATTAAATTCAGCTATAAAAGTCGACATATTATCAGCGAAATGGTATTAATTGGCTTACATATCCAATTTTGCAATGCATCCCATAGTTCAGAAAATGAGAAAACATATCCATTTTTTCATTATTGGCAGCGGAATTTTTGCTACAATCGAATAGAAAACAAATATTAAAGTAATTACCTGTTGAGGATAGCATTTCTCAAAGTCATCTGTCGGATGAAAGCCATTGCAACGATTAACCAGAGAGAAGTGGTATGTAAAGTGATGCTAAGTACCATATGACAGGACAAATAGCGCATCCACAAGTAAGAATAAATAGGCATACTGCAACGAGTAACGCATATTTAGATAAATGGTAATTAAGATATGCTCTTTAAATTAGCTACTGACTAATCAAAAAAGTGAATTATAAGGGAAGCAGATGGAAAGAAAAATAAATCTTACGGGAATGACTCATATTTGAAAAAGAATTCAAGTTAATAATAGTTGTCAAGCATTTTCATATGCAGTTGCTTTGCGTCAGTGACGTCCGACTTTTCAGATGTCCATTTGTGAAATTTAAAGAATTTTTATAACTGAATGTGACAGAGGGTAAAGATCTTGCACAGAAATGAAGTCATGTAAAATGATCATATAGAGGAAGATGGAAATTTCAACTCTACTTCGGGAACTTTTATCATTTTGAAATTTTTTTAGTCATATAATAGATCGAAATGTATATCTTGAACAGAGATGTCCTTACTTTCAACAATTTGCTGGCACAAGTATAAGCATTCAAAAATAAGGATGAATAACCTAAAATGATATTACCAATTGCAAGTGAAATTGCAAGATGAGAATAACAACCAATAAAGCTAACCAAGTAGTATCTTTGAAAAGTACAAAATGGCAAATGTATATGAAATACGATGCCATGGTACCCATATCACAAATGGCAACCATTGTTAGTACACAGTTGACTGCAGAGCATCTCATATTTGGCCTGGTTAGTACCAATACGTGTATCAGGTTTGTTCCAATACTGAACGTACATATTACTATGCAGATGAAGCCGTGTATTGGTGAATAAGCTCTGGAATCAAGAAACTATATATCCCAATAATCGGTTAGACTTTTCAAACGTGAGATAAATGATCAGTAGTGGAAGGTAATTACCGTATCCGCTCTAATCATTTCTAGTTGTGCATGTGGCATCATTTACAAAGTGACTTCTTCCTTAGAAAGCAAGCCTTAATAAGCAATGCCATAGATACCTGATGGTTTCTGTAGCAAAATGTGATTGATTGCCGTTCAAATTTGGTCATCAATTGATATGACACATATAGACAAACCTTTGAAAGGCTTCTAAAGCAGCCAGGAGTAGTCGCGTCGTATTATTTGACAAATCGAATAAAGGCGTATCATTTACGCATAACATTCTCTGACGTCATAAATATTCTTTCTTCTTCTAAAAATTGATCTAATCAGTTTTACTTGACCGTAAAATAAAAGTGCATATTGAAAATGCTTGAAAAATGACGTTCCCGGTTGTCCCTTAGGCTTAGAACTTTTCGAAAAAACTTTTCTCACATTTTTGAACCTTACTTTTTTGGTAAGACCTAAGGCTTGGTTTATCTATTTCTTTGATTTCCAGCTCCATAAAATAGTTCCTGTTGAATAGTTACAATATATTAAATTAAATGATGAACGCAAATTTATATTCATAAAAAAAACGACCTTGTAATCACAGCGGCCATTTGAAAATGAACAAAATTCAAAACAAAAGGCAAAAGAATACAAGGGACGTCTTTTGACTTACAAATATATTAATTACCGTAGTAGAAAACTTTTAACACGAAAGTAGTGAACATATAGTCTGATTTATGCAAATATAATTAATTCATCGATTTCAATCGATTTAAGGCTTCGCAACAATCTGCAAGAAAAGAACTAATTAATGGTAAAATTAAGGAAATTAAAACTAGCGTTATCACTGACAAGATGGAAAATGCAATTCAGCTGAATTTCAAGATATATTGAAATCATTAAAAGCCTTTGTCACCTTTTTCAGACAAAACTGTTTCCTTATAAAGGTCCCCGATGGATTCCGTATTCCAATGAAATCTTTGAATACAGAATTAGTTAGGGAAAAAACCGAGATGTGAAAAAGCCACAAAAGGCTTGTTTTCGAGACTCATGCTAGAATGTGTCATCTGTGACAGCATTCGCATTATTTAACAAACTAACGACCCTTATAAAGAACAAGAATGAAATCCAAATTCTTCTAAACAAGACCCAATTTGACCAAGATTTAAGCACGAATTTTAGAAGAACACTTTTTTTTTATAAAATAAATCAATAGAAATGAGACATTTACATGAACATTTAGTGATACAAAAACTGGCAGCTAACAACTGACATATGCGTGCATTAAGAAAAGAGAAACTTTTCCTAAGTTTTTCAGACAAGTTAATTTAAATAGATTGGTTTCATTTAAGTTTTATTCCCCGAACCTTCAGAAGCAATAACTATCTTCTGTTTGATTTCGTTAATAAATGGCATTGTTTAAAGAACATTCATATCTTATACCACCACTTTGATATTCCGTGCTACTGATTTGTTTACAGAAAATAAGCAATGAAACGTAAAATTTATGGGAACGCGATCGTCCAGTACTAAAACTTGCAAAAAGTTCCTCCGAGCCGATGAAAGTAGTTGAAATGATTCTTCTCTCTTACAGGGGCTAATATTAAAAGACCCATATTCAAGAAGATTAAATCTAATACGAATGACAAGTATCAGTAAAAATAATGTAAGAAAACTTTTAGGTGATAGATCGCTTTACTGATTTTTGGGCTTTTGAAATGATGGAACTATTAAAATCTTCCGTCAATAAGTTTCGAAGTAATGGAAGTCTTCTCATGCTCCTTTCAGTAATTGGTAAATTCAGGTTTCATGTAATTACTCCTATGATTTACTACCCTTTATTATTTTCCGTCTATTACATTCCGGAATGGCATGAAATGAGAAAGAAATAAATGGAACATTAAAGAAAATCAGATATCGAACAAGTTATATGATGCAGCTAAATTTCAAAATGTTTGACTCAATTTGAATCTTATCAAATTTTTCAAAAAATCATTCTGAGACAGAATTTTTGACCGCTTTTCCCATCTATAAAAAGCACAGATAGCAGAACGCGTAGAATAAGCCGAATTGTACTTAATTCCATTCTCTTCTCTATTCATACTCTAGTTTTTAAGGCCAAATGCGTCATCATCAGCCATCGTAAAAGAAGTGATAAATCAATTACCAACATTAGCACATGCGTCTCATTCATACATTGTCTACCCAACCATTACCTTTTACCCTTTCCAGCTAAATCTTGTAACTTCCTGTTTTAGTGTTTGGCTGATAAACAGATGTTCAAAGCCATATCTCATTGTTAATGATAACGAAAGGAAGTAATCTGCAATACAGCCCAAATGGTAAGTGGAAAGGATACTAATCAATTTGTTGAAATGCCGATACATCTATTTTGCAAAACTAGGCAATTATCATGTATAGCATATGGCTGTTGCATTGAAGGAAACCGAAGTTAAAATATCCTTCCTTTTCGAAAACAAATCTTTATGGAATTTAACGTCAGCAACGATAGTGCTTTTCACTAAATCTTACCTAGTATCGTTGAAATCTGTGTGAAAAACGAAAATTTTCAATGTAAGAGAAAATTTAGAAAGTTCAAAATATTATTTTGCATGGAAGTATCTCATCTGACTGACTCTTAAATAATTTCATTTCATTTTATTTCCATCAAAATCTTCCTATCCAAGATATTTGTAAACGATGAAAATATTGGTGCAAGCAAAGCAAATATTTCTGAAGAGAATTTCAACTGATTGAGCTTCAAATCGGATGCCTTTGCTGAAAACAGATTTCTTAAAAGTTGTAAATAAGGATGCTAAGGGAGTGGAATTATGGTAATAAGTGAGCGAACTTTCGAATATGTCAAAAAATTTCAATATGGTTCTGAAGTGAATGCAATAGTTGTATGATGGTGATAATATTAAGTTTCATTCTACTCTAGGGAATTTCATAGATGGAGACGAAAGAGTGAACACTTTTTTTGCAATCCGAATATAAAAGATTTTAACAATGATACGAATTGAAAAACAGATGTTAGTCTTCATACCAAAACATTTAGGTGTCCCTAAATTGGAATTAATTAGCTTCATCTGAATTTTCCCAATTGTCTTTGGTTAGATTACTATTATTATTTTCCTCCGAATGTGAAATTGCTCGTTCATAATATTAATAAATTTTTTTTTCAAGAATTAATTAAATCTCAAACGTGATGATGACAATTATATGAAGAAGGAAGCAACACTTTTCGTTAGCTGGTTCCTGAGGATAATTTTTATTGTACAACCACTGATTAAATTTCACAATATTCTGAAGCACCAAAACTTGCTCAAATAAAATTAACAGTTGCTCAACCTGAAGAGATTTAATCTACTTCTACTGCTGAAATAGTTTCATTGTAATTTTAGTTTCACTTTTATAAAAGCAATTTAAAATTTTATTTTTATAAAAGTAATTTAAATTCGCTGCATTGTTTTTTAACTTTTCTCACAGCTGCTTTAGTACTATTTTTATTCTTAGGAATTCCTATTAATAAAAAACCTTGAATTTTCACGCTATTTTTTCTTATTCAAAGGACCACAATCTCATTCCAAAATAATTCGAAATTAAGTGATTTCGAATTATCACAACTTAACCAGTATTTCCCCATCTTTCCACCACCAATTACACGAAGAAGTTCTGGCCATCTGCTGCCATTTCAACAAAGATTCGTTAAAGACGGATGTAAGCAGTACAAGAGCAAAAGAGACGACACTTATGGGGACAAAATAAGCCTTTGCACGTTAATAGTATTTCAATGTGTGAGATTCTTTGAAAATCCTTTACGATCTAGGAAATTACTTTATTTTTGTTAGAGATTTTTAGGAAGAAATTATTTTGTTGAGAATTTTTCGAAACAAAAAATCTCGATTTTCTTGCTTGTTCTATACTAGCAAGATGCAGCTCTAGAATTAGAAAATAAGAAGCATTAACTTTGAATTCATTTCTTTTAAGGGAGTGTTGTTCGAACAAAAGTTAAAGAAAAAGGAGAGGAGTATGTTTAAAAGGAATTAAAAATGCCGATGAAATATTTCACCTTGAAGTTTAATCTTCGAAACATTTCTATATTTTTTCGAGTCTTATCTAAAGGTAAGGAATATTCAAATTTTCTTCAAAAGACTAAGCTTAATCAGGAACCCAAGAGCTCTTTTTACTCTGAAAAATGATGGGACGAATTTAAGCAATTTCCAAAGTGCTACTACGTCCATACTGGAAATTAGAAAGAAAAAAAGGCTTTCAGAAAGTTTAGTTTAATGGCAGGAGGTTTTTCCTTGCATTATTCTTCATCATCCAAAATCTCCAGAAGCATCTATCAAATATGAGAAAATAAGAGGATGCAGTGAGCTTCGATCGCTCAAAAACAAAAAAAAAGAAAGGGAAACCTTATGATAAGAGCGAATATATGATATATAATATCTTGCCCATTGTTTTGACATCACTACAATTATAAGTGAATTAAATTTTTTCTGATTGGTTTTTTGGTCTGAAATTGATCTTAAAATAAGCAAACTAAGCAGTTTATTTTAATATCCTTTTCTTACTATTCAACGGATGAAATATAAAGCGTAGAAGTTATATTTGCTTAATAAAATGTAATGGAGTAAATTTTATGATCAATTCTAATTTTACCAAATCTAGAAATAACAAAAACCTTGGAAGTAATTTTTCAAAACTTCTCTTTTCTGTCGTATTTTTCTATGTTTAACTAGAATGAAAGAAAGAAGAAAATATGTTAGTGGAGGTTAGATAAGTCAGAAATACGATAACTGATAGCATAAAGGACGTACAGTGATAACCATTTCCAAATTGGATATATACTTGATTGTATATATGAAGGAAATCCTAATCACAATCAGAAAATTTGTTTTTTTTATTCCAATTATCTTTGTTTATTATAAACTGGAGTGAATTCATGAATTCTTTTAATGTCATTTGATGTTTAACAAACAGGTAGCCTATAAATAATCTTGAACCTGCTTTTGACCATTCTCATTATGTGTTTTATAAAATTGGTCATTCTGCCTTATAAAAAGAACACAGTTTTCATTCATATCATCAAAAATGTTGTTATACATCTAAAAAAAAAAAAAAATAGATATAGCGCAGGAAAATCTTACAGGGAAATGGCAGAACGTGAAAGTTTGTTGAACCCGATTACCAATTTACGTAGATAATAATAGTTGCAAATTGCAGAAATGGCTGACTGCTGATAATATACTTACCAGTAGAAAACAAATCCCTCAATTTGTCTATATTATTTATTAATATAAAGGTGATTTGGAGTATTCACAAAAGGATTACTAAGCTATAAAATTGCGAAATCTTTTGGACATCACAGAAATTTAGTAGTGGAAAAAAGCTCAAAAAAGTTGGGTGCATTAGAACAGAAATCACATTTTGAACACAAAATTAATATGGTTAAATCAATGGAATAAAAACTGTGTAAAAAGGAGGCAATTTTACTATTCCATCATTGATAATGTCATGTGTATATCTTTTTGTGAGTGTTAGAATTACTCTATGATTAATTTTCTAATAAAATTGAACTTTTTTTAATAACAATTCTGAAATAATTATAAATACTTAATAATCTTATTAGAGCACTGTTTTAAAAAAAGAGTCCTTAAGGTTCCCTGAATAGTTTGTATTTCATTATATTCTAAAGTTTGCAAGTTTACATTAGACAGTCAATCCACTAACTGGTGCAAAACTAATCGAATACAAGAATTTTTATCACATCAAGTTAACATTCCTTAATTAAAAAAAGAATATGTACGAAGTACTAAGCACTTCAAAGATCTCTAAATCTATTCTAGCACATCATATCTGATGTTTCGCCAAGTCCTTTCATTCTACTTAAAATCTAAAAGTTAAAATCGTTATTCCATATATTAGGGAAAACAAATATGTATTTACAACAAACATCTTAGTAAGGAAAACCTGATGCTAAAAATAATGGCATGCTTCATTTCATCGCAAATTATCGTCTGTCATTTGGAATATTCCGAAAGAACTTGACCCATTCACTGATTTGTGAATTTTATCTGCCTCTAACACTAATTAGAAATCACCAATTTTATCCTCTCTTAACATTATTCAACGTTCACGTACAATAAGGTAACTGCTTTCAGCAAGCTAACTGTCTCCCATGCTTTCCTTCTGCAATTTTTGCATAAGAATTTTAGTTGGAAATCTGCTAAGATGATACAGGACTAGAAATTATCGTCTTGATTTCGCATCTCGCTGAATCAGAACTATTCAGAACTTCTTAAACATCATATTCTTGTGTGATTACGAGATCAGCTCAATTACTGATAATCAAACCATAATATTTGGCTTTTGAAGGAATGCAACACTGAGGACAACAGCAATGTTTGACAGCGATAAGAAAAAAAAGTATTCATGAACATTGCGTGAAAATATTTCACAAAGTATTAGTGATATACGATATCAAATATCACATCATTGTGTTGCTACATTATTATAGAAAGTTTTTAATGTCACCACAGTTACACTTGTTCATCGTTGTATCGTTTGTAATTACGCAAATATTTGTTATTTTAAAAGCGACAGCACCGAGAAGCAACCGATGAATTAAATAACTACATAACAATCATTTCGATCATTTCAGGAGTCCATATTACAAGTATATGGAACGCCTAGATAACGTTAAAAAGCAAGCTTCGTACTTGAATTTTTGATAAGTGAAAAGAATGAAGGAGGAATCTAATACTTTGCATTACGCTGCAGAAGTGAAAAACATATTAGAAATTGTTGACGACGTTTCAGAAATTCGAATACAATATGAAATCAGACTAAGCTCGATAAGCTGAATTTTTGATGTTTAAATAAAATCCGTATGGAAATTTTAAAAACAAATTGGATTTGTATTCCCTTTAGTAGAACTGGTCATCATTTCTTTCCGAAAAATTTTTGAAGGAACTAATATCTTGATGAAGAGAACCTTCAAGTCTTTTTTCCTCTAGTTTCGTATTCTAATCTTGTTAATTGTATAAAGTTTCGACTGGAAATGGAAATGAGAAATTAACGATGTAGTAAAAATCGATTTAAAAACATAATTTAAAATAAGGAAAAGTGAAGAGGTAAAGTGGCATATTCTTTAGTCCTTTTCAATTTAAAAGATATTAAACGAACAAACAAGCTATTTTTCTTTCTTTAACTATCTCTCCGTTCACCTTACTGCCTAAAAGTTCCAAACACATGTTGCAGCCTTTTTTTGATAATTTTAACGGTAATTTACAGAATCAGCAAATAATTGTTTTAAGGCACTACATAATCTACACGCAATTCCCAACCTTCACTGTATCAGCCTTCTTTTACTTCTTACATTTAGAAATTTATCTCTTCAGGCAAACTACCATCTTTGGCATCCAAAGACAATTCATTTCTCATTCGTTTTATGAAATAGTTCCTTCAAATGCTTTACACAGTCCAACTGATACTTATTTCCTCTTTGCAATTATATAGCACTTTTTTTGAAATTTTAATTTAGTTTTTAAAACGAGAATAAAATATGAATGGACCCTATTTTACACCAGTTTGCTAAACTAGTATAGAAATACGAAACGGCAATTATTTTGCAAATGAAAAAGATGAAGATATGCTTAGATCCGCTGCATACTATCAATGTAATCATTTTTTACTCCCATTCACTCGTATTTTTGGTTGTCAAACTAGGATATCTGTTAAACCAGTTAAAGTATCATCTAATTTAGTTAATTTGGATGACGTATATGGGAAAAGTACCATAATGATAAACTGCAAAAATTGAATGATAATGATACTATTATCATTTGACAAGATAGTGAGGAAACGAAATATTTTCCAACTGGAAGTGAAAATGGAATCCCCGACAGTCAAGAGGATTTGATAGGAGATGTGCAACTTGTTCAAAAGGAAAAAGAACTTGGATGGCAGTGTAAAGACATACCCAAAGAGAATGTGGAAGGAGAGAGAGAAGTGCCACCATAGAAAGACACATGTCAAATGATGTCTGGAAGAAGTGCTAATTCAATTTGCTAAAAATATTCTAAAATTTAATGTCTAGGAGGACATTTTAAGTGCGTTTATATAAGAACAGATTATACGATGCAAAAGTATGGAAAATTGTTTAATATCAAAATGAAAAATGAAAACTGATAAGGTTCCGTGGTCTGAAAAAAATCTTTTGCAATCCGTTTTAAGCAAAAAAATGATGACTGGAAATTAATAGACATTTGCTCTTTATGGGAAAGAAATTGTGCAAAAAATGAAAGTGATGAGGAGAGGAGAATATTCTTGCAAAAAGTCGAATAATATCACATAATTTAACTCTATGATTAATTGTTACTATTAGAAGAGTCGTTTGAAAGGCGCTTTGTAAGAAAGAAATGATAGCAGCACTTCATGATGAATTTATAAGATACAGTACTAACAATGCATGAGAAATAACTCAATTTGGCTATTAAATAGTATTCCGCAAAGACCGAACTATACATCAAAAAGAGAAACCATTTTCAGTGGAGAGTAATAACAATTAAGTTTTTTCTTTTTTTTGATTTCTGCACTTTCAATCTTCATCTCTGGGACTTGAAGTCACAAGAATCGGGTCGTGGCTGTACACTGAATCCATGACAATAAATTTAACAAATTGATAGAAATGAATTGGTGTGTTAAAAATACATATAGTAATAGTAACTGTAAATAAAGTATTGAACAACTGACCGAAATAATTTATAAAAAAAGCTAGTTTTCAAGATGGATAAGCGTAAACTGATTGATGTATAATTAGTTAGGTTGGATGGAATGATATAGGAATATTTAGATCAACTAATATCTGCCTGAGGTGAGATCTAACAACAAAGTGAACAGAAGTGTCTTTGCTTTTTAGCGACTGCTTCAGTAGACTTGACGAAACGATGGGAAGGCAATTAGTGAGTCAGTGGTAAGTTTGTGCGTCGTTGAACGATAAATAAATAATTAAGAGGGGGATGGAAAGTTGCTCCAATATCTGTTAGCTCATTTTGCGATTATGACTACCCTTACAATGAATTTTGGATTCTGATGGTTGAAATTGTGAAAGGTTTTTCTACAACTTCCAATAATTTCACTACCAGACCACAATCCAAAATATTTTTGAGATGACTACAGTATTTCCAGTTGACAACATCCTGAATTAAAACATCCCATCCTCACCTCACTACCGTACATAATCATTTCTCGATTGCAGGTCCTTAATTCTTAAATTTTCACTTCGCTGCACAACCGATATGTGTAGTTGAACAGGGCTACCGGTTTGACAGCAACTGGTTCAAGAGCGTCTGTGCATTGTGGATCATGACCTGAAATTTGCCGAGGTAATTAAATTTGTTTATTAATCAGTTGTCTCTCGTTCAGCTGCACATTTTATATGGTCTTCCATGCCCTTACCTCTTTTCAATCTCAGCTGTGCAGATATTTCAAAATAATTTCATTTCTGTCACAAATCTTTATACTTTATGATACAAATTATATAATTACTGCTGATTGATATGTTCCTTCTAACATAGCATATATTTGACTGTAGAGTACCAGTGCTTATAATTTATTTTCCTACTAAATTAGCAAACGATAAGCTTATTTCATGTTTACTCAGTGGACATCAATATACCGGTAGCCCTATATTCTAAACATTTTTGTCTAGAGAGTTAGGCAGTCGATTTCATAATATTTTATCGAAATTTGGTTCTTTCAGTCATATGTGAACACTGGATTTTCTTTTTGCCATGCAAATGCATTGCAAATGAAAGCAGAGCAATTCTGTTAGTTGAAATAAATTCACGGGACATGCACCCAAAAGGCGACGCTGCAACTTTCATTCCTTTCTTGACTACTTTATTTACACTTGAACGTGAGTGAATAGTAAATAAAATTGCATGTAACTTTTTTGTTATTTCAGATTAAATTAAGAAATATAAGAAGCGAGCGGATCGTGCTGTCGCTCTTTGTGCAGCCGGCGAGAAATAGTTTTGGTCGCCCCTGACCAAAAAGCCATCCCCGAGATTTGCTGCAATCCGGTACGGGAAATTACAAGTGA